AAATCACTTTATACTTGATCAAAGAGGTCAGATGTAGAGTAAATATACCACTTTTTAGGGATTTGCCGGTGAGTGTTCTTGACTCGTTAGCTTGAATTTGTGTGTGACCTTGCTCTGAGGATGTTTGTCATATGATGGACGAAAGTAGATTACCTCGAAAACAGCGTCAGCATGAATGTTCCAGTAAAGCTGCATATGACGAACATAATCAGAGCAAGGTATCATCGTCACAACAAAAGTCAAGCTAAATAGTCAAGAAAACTCACCGTCAAATCCCTAAAAAGTGGTATATATAACCTACATCTGATTCGGTTAGTTAAGGGCATATGTCAACTTCGATGCGTGTGAGTGTGTCTGTGTCTGTATGTTTATGTGCCTGTTTGTGTTCGCTTATGCGTCATGCTCATCGTAGAATAGCAAGTCGGCTTTCAGGAGTGGATAAAATGGTGTGATAAGTTGCCTCATTCTTGGATCCTAATGTGGGTGAAAACAAGTAGTATTGTGGTAGTAGTAGTGCGGTAATTATTACCAAAAAGCTAGGATGAATGTGGGGCTCCCAACAATAAAGTGTGAAAATACTTCTTGATATGACTAGATTAAGCTAAGAGATATTCACATGTAGATACTTTACTTAAGAGAATATTATGGTTTCAACCTCACATTATTTTCATTGGCATGAAAGTGGTAGTCGTTGTTGGATTCTAAAGTTTTAGCAACAATTTATTCAAAGGATAGATGCGTTTCATTATTGTATTAATGGTATATGAGCGTCTCGTGATACAATGATTATAATCCAAATCGTCACTTATTTTAGATAAGTTTACGAAATACACTTCAAATTAAGCTAGGCTTTATCAATAAACAAAAATAGTAGATGAGTAGTAGTGTGCTTTATCAAAAAATTTAATACGACTTAGATTTTATAAACGTCATTGGATCGAAAATAGATTATACCACCAACTCTTGGTATGTCACATTTAGTTCACGTTGGGAATGGTTTGACCAGACAAACTCATATCTATACTAAACTCTAAACTATATATATTAAAGTACTTCATCACCTTAAACGAATTTAGGTGAATTCATCTCATACTACTGATTTACTGGTAGTCTCTAGACAATATTTAGAATGCGAAACATAAAGAAACATAGTCGATTGTCATAGCAAATATACGTTTGCTTCATCGAAAATCCCACTAAAGAATATGATATGACAAAATGCCAGGCCTTCCTTGAAAATTCACATTTTCCCTGTGACCTAAAGGCACTCGTGGCAATGTGGTCGAGTGATTAACGTGTCAAGCTTCCATTCTGCACTGTCACGATTCGACTCCCGCTGGGGGTGCTGATAAAACTGAGGCGAGGTCGAAACTGTAGACCACTTCTGTCTGGATGAGGACAACTTTTGGGAAAGCGAGGCTTCTACATAACAGGCTCATACACATACAGAGAAATACACACTCACATGCATCAAAGTTGACATATGCCCCTAACTAACCAAATCAGATGTAGAGTAGATATACCACTTTTTAGGGATTTGCCGGTGAGTTTTTTTCGACTCTTTAGCTTGAATTTGTGTGAGACGATGATACTTTGCTCTGATGATATTCATCATAAGACGGACGTAGATTAGCATCTTTTCACCGAAATCGAAGGAAACTGCTGGTGGAACCGACCTTCGAAGTAAGCTCAACAATTATCAAACAAGAGATCCCTTAAAAACCAACTTTTCTTCACATAAACTCATGCTTAGCAATTGATATTAATTAAATTTGTTACATTTGTACATTGTAGTTTTCGAAGCTTGAAATTCTATTCAAGATTGACTGACAGTTTCGCAATCTACTCCACGCAAATATGAGCAACATAAGCGATTATAATGGCAAAATACAAGTTCACCTAATCGACATTCCCACTGGAAATCAAGTTTAAGAAAAGCGTGGCCTTCCTTGAAATTCACATCTGCTGCATAGTTTGGGTTCGAGTCCCGCTAAGGGCGAGGTCGATGCTGCGGTCTACTGTTTGGTAGGCAAGGCTAAGCAATTTTCGATGGAACCATGAAGACTACTCATAAAGTCTTATATTTAAAAGAAACATTCTTACCAAACAATTGAATAGAAGACAACATAGCAGAAAAGAATGTAAATATAAATTCCTTTTAAGATTAGCTCCAAGCTTCCTGTACATCATCCAGTCCTTAAAATATCTTATAAGTGGGTTGACCTCGTTGTCACAACTTAGTCTTGTTGTCATGGCGACTTAGTAGAACACATCTAGTCAGACATAGTTGTCATGATTCCCACCATCAGACAGTGGACTTGGTACATTCACAAACGTTTTACCGGCATCGTAGTCGGTAGCATCAATGAGTTTTCCCATTCGCCCCACAAAGCTATGAACGGGTCAAAGGGACAATTCCTCGACAAACGTTCTGCCGAAAACGGTTACACTATCACTCCTCTTTCTGTCGTGGTCTATCTATACACTCTTTACCCTCTTATCCCATTGCCGCCCTACCAAGTCCACCGTCTGATGCTGGGAATGATGACAACTTCGGACAAGGTGCGTTTTACTAAGTCGCCCTGACAACAAGACCAAGTTGCGACAACAAGGTCAACCCATTTCTATAAATCGAAAGGAGACTGCGACCATACCAGAGGCCATAAAATCTTGGTCTTCATATCTTCATAAAACATCTTGTTCCGTGAAATTCAACGGGAGCGTCATGCCTACTCATAGTAGGAAAATCCAACTACCAGAACTTTATCACCTTACACGAAATAGAGTGACCATAGTTCATATATTAATTCATTAAGCCCAATTGGTTTTTACTTAAATTCTTTTCAATATTCCTCGTATTTTATGTATTGCCCATTCGATTTTTTTCGATGGATTCTCCCATTTTCGCCATTAGCTGCAGCAAAACGAGAAATTCGAGACCATTTAATCTCATGTCCACTTTCCGTCCTGTGCTAAACCAGCTCTGATTTGTGAACTCAACGGCCTCTATAGACGCTTATAAGCTGTACTGCCCTTCGTTGACAAGGACGACAAGTGCCTCCGACATAAAAGCGACCACATAAACGCATTAGCTCATAGCAACCCGATCTGGATGGCGCGTGAAATTTTCTCCTAAAAATGAGCATAGCAAAAATGTTTCCCAGTTTCTCTGATTATCGTTTTTATGCCCTTTTTCCATTCTAGTTCGTCTTTCGTTTCAGAAAGAATGCCCGAACGCAAATAAAAGATGCTAAAAAGATCTACTCATCTCCTCTTACATATTCATTCTTGTGTGAAAAAACCGGGTTTCGAAGAATCTCTTAATAGATTTATGTTGGCGTACCTTTCATTTCGTTTGAAGAGGCGACTGGAAAGGATTCGCAAGTTGGTTGCACCGGAGGTTGTGGGGGTTGCCTTGGAGCTGTGATTGTAGTTTTGTACAAATAGATCCGATGATACCTTTCCGAGCTTCCGTCTGTCATGCGATATACATCGTCTAAGCAGTACAACATGCTTAACATTCTTCCTTTTTATACTCCAATTTGGTCCACTTTGTCGTCTCAAGTTATGGTTGGATGTCCTATACTTTCGGCCAATATGAACTAGCACATTGATTGTTTAATTGTGAGTAGTATAGAC